TTGGCCATTACGGCAATCCTTATGCAAATCCTTAAGTTAACACTACAGAGGAGATCAATATTTCACCAGACTATTTGATCATTCCATTTTTTCTCTGAGAATGAAAAAGCTCACAAGACTTCTGTGTTAAGCAATACAGGGTCCTTACACAGGTTCCACTTAGAAATCACTGAGAAGCAGGGACGTGCCGTCTATAGCAGCAAGGTCATGTGGTGCACAATGACAACAAAGCCTTCAAGCCACCTACGATAAGTTTCTTACTTACCAGTACCGACTGGTGGCGAAACTGTACTAGTATTCTTTTTTCTCTAGGGGCTCTAGGTATGTACACCATTCACTGTTCAGTCAAAAGTTTTCAGGTTTAAGCACGCAAATTTTGGGTTTATTTAAATGCTTTTGTGGTCAGTGCAAGTTCATTAATCTTTCACTGTCGTTAGCCATATGAGAGCACCATAAGTATTCATAGTATAATAGTCCTGATTTGCTAATATAGTGATTGTGAAAAATAATTAAAAAGTAAGGTAAACGATTAAGTGAACTCAGCTTTATATGATAATACTAATAATTACAATAATGCTTTTTTCAACTTAAAAAAAAAACTTATAGTTTTAACTATACATTCAGTTTACCTAATTTTCTATAAATACTTACTGAAATTTGGCAGTACGGTAATTTTTTTGAAATATTACAGCAATTATTATGGAATATTAACGAATTTGGGAAGCACTGAGCACGATGAATTTAATTTTCATAAAAAACTTGAAGCTTTAACCAACAAAAATCAAACTGGAAAAGATGTGAATGGAACAGAACTTTTACACGAATTACAATTTCTGCAAAATTGTGATAAAAATGTGAAGTCTGTAGTAAAACAACTACATTACAATAAATAACTTAACTCACTCATTTCCAAATATTACAATTTTATTATGTACAGTACAAAGTCTGTAATCTGGACGTCCATTACCCAGAATGATCTGTAATCCGGACCTCAAAGCCACAAACTTTTTTTTTTGCATGCTTTATGCATGCACGTTTAATGCTACGCATGGGTGTTTAATGTTTACGCATGCACGTATGGCACGAAAAACGAAGCGCCATTTTATTTTCACGAAGTAAAGAATTTTTTTTTTTTTTTAACTCAACATTTTTTTCCCAACAATCTGCTAGCTGAATTGTTTATTTAGTTTATGCTAGAACTTTTATGGAACAAAAGTGCTTAATCATGACGAAGATTAGGTGCGAAATTGGGAGAAAGTGCAGAATCGCCCACTGCTTGCCGCGTTTTTAAGAATTGCACATACACGTTATCATCCATGTACACGTCGACCTATTTTCACTTAAAAGAAAATCCCAGAATTGCACAAAAATGGCATTGTGCACACTCTTGACTTTATCTATGTACACTGCTAAAGTCCTAGCTAATAACCTTTATCGCCTTACCAAAATGTCGGCAAACTACCTGTTACCATATTTCAAAGATTGGCCCTTTTTTTTTTTTTTTTTTTTTTTTTTGTAAATTTTGATACCCTTTAGATCATAATTGCTCTTTATTTCATAAAAGAGATTGCTTTCTAAATTAAAGTTAATAAATGGATTTCTTATGATCTAGAATGGGCCAGGAGCAGCTTGAAAATCATGCTATCATTTCTATAGAGTCTGACTTTTTAAAGCAGCTGGATACTGAAAATTTTATAAAATTCCAGTTTCTACAAGACATTTCCATTGTTTACTAAAATCTTATAGAATTCCAATTTCTACAAGACATTTCTGTTGTTTTCTATCATGTATTCAAATACATGGGCAGTCGCCCAGATGGTATAGTGGTTAGAGGAGCCTACTATGGTACCGAAGACCAGTTTCGAATCCGGAAGGAGATATGGATAATGTACAGTGTTAGTGTGGTATGCGGCGAGCCGAAAGTCCTCTCGTGTTGATTGGAGGGAGATCCCCGGAATCCTCCGCCCAGGGTGTTCTCTCTCAAAATTGGGGAGTGGGGGGAAATAGATGTCCAACCTCTCTTCGGAGTAGGCTCTGACAAACTCTGTTCCATGTAATATGGACAAGACAACAACAACGCATGGGCAATCTAAATATATCTTCTTTAACCTTTTGCTTTTTAATAATTTGGCACGTTTTAGAGTTTTAACATGGTGTTTTGTTTTGTTACTGTCATTTTATTGTGAAAAAAAAAAAAAAAAGCTCTACTCTTACATGCACCCTAAGATCACCAAATGTAGCGATATGTGCTCTGCGCTGGTTTTTGGCATGATTCCGTGCTGTGGGATGGTTTGGTGGACGATGATGTTTGTAGGCAACCTTTTGACATTTAAATGCTTTTGTGGTCAGTGCAGGTTTATTAATCTTTCACTGTCGTTAGCCATATGAGAGCACCATATACAGTCAAAAGTCGTTAATTCGGACACCCATAATCCGGAATGATCTATAATCCAGACCTCAAAGCTAAAAACTTTCTACGCATGCGCCACGTTGACACATGCGCATAGGCGTTTACGCGTGCGCACAAGACCTTTTACCACTTTACTTTATATGTATTATGATAAGTGCGCATATGCGTGTGCGCAAACGCAGAATACGTTTTCGCGTGGGCGTTTTATGTATAACGGACCGTATAATCTAAAATTATCTAATTATCTATTTCAGTTACTGTTGATGATTGCGTTGTTCCTTAACCTTCGAATTGGATCTGGCTTATTATTTTTTGCAGACTGTAAGAGCAATTTTATAAAAGTAAACTTGAACTTTCGATTATGTCAAACAGAATTTCCCGATTCTGGAGCTTCCAAAGGATCATACAAAACGAAAGTATGTTTCGATGTCCATCAAACAAAACGTGGAATTGCTGCAAAAAATGGATAAAGACATGAAGAATGTGGCAGAGAGGTTAGTGAAAACGAAAAAATTTCGATTGACAAGTTAGTCGGTATTCTCGGCACAACAATTAACGGGACTTTGTAACTGAACAAGAAATTGTGTCTGTTTATAGAATTAAAGAGAAAGTATTATCACATAAAACGAAGCAACTTAAAATAACTTACATTGAAAGAAATGTTTAATAAAGTAAACAAATAAATATTAAGCTTTTTTTTTTGTAAATTTTGATACCCTTTAGATTATAACTGTTCTTTATTTCATAAATTAAGGTTTCATATTTTTAATTTTAGAATTTCTGCATGCCATCTTACGAGATTTAAACTGATGATCTATAATCCGGAATCGCCGAAGTCCCGACGAGTCCGGATTAACGACTTTCGACTGTATATGTATTATATTTGTTGCAATGGTTTAATTGCTTGTTGGCTCGTGTTGTGCGTGTTTTGAATGTTGCAATGAGAGGCATGGTGGCAAGATTTCAGTCGCGCACTTTAGATTGTGTGCAAAGTAAATTTAGTATTAAAAGGTACGATGTTAACGAGTCTTTTATTCATGGGTGTGTTTATGCAGATGGAAGTGCATTTTCAGAATTTCTGTGGGAGTCAGGACTTTTCAACTGGCGTGTCCGAAATGCAGAGCTGATATGAGAACTCCGACGAAGAATGATGTTTCTGATAGACTTGCGTGGGTTTACAGTCAAATGGTTGCTGGTAAAGTACGTGGCTGTCAGCTGAGTTTTGAGATTTGGATTGTGGTTTTTCATGTAGTAAGTTAACTTCAGAGGAAATTTTTATCGTTACTTTTGAAATTTTGAATCGCAGAAAGACATGCGATATAGCAAAATCGTGGCACTTTTGTTCACAGACGTTGTGCGACTGGCGAAATTTTATTCACATATGTATTATGATAAGTGCATTTTATTTTGTGTTTGTTTTGTAGAATGTTATATTCATTGTTTTTTTACTATGAACTTCTGTTGTTATTTGAATTGTTTGTAATTTTAGTTTATTTTGTTGATTTGTGCACAATGCCTAGATTGTGCAATTCGTAGATGATTTTTTATAAGTTTAAACAGTGCATGGTATTCTTTGAAATTTATTAAAGTGAGGTGTGTGTAGATTGCAGATTCTTTCGCTGCCTAGATTGTGCAATTCGTAGATTTTTTTTAAGTTAAAACATATCGCTGTGTACATGGATTCTTGTCACATATTTTTGGTTAGTAACTTTATGTTTTTGCTATCTAAATTTTTTGTTTCGGATTTTTAGCTTAAATTGTGTGTTTTCGGAGATATTTTAGGCTTAAAGTTCGAAATGTAGAAAAAAAGTTTAGATAGTAATATAGCAAAGTGGAGTTCCTTGCCAAAAATATTTGGCGACCTGAGAGCGCATATAAGAGTAGTTAAAAAAAAAAAATTAATATTTTTTTTACATGTGTGTCTACTGTTTGCCTCAAGTAAAAAATACGTACCTGTATTAACAAGTATAAAGAGTGTCATAAATTTCAGTGTTGTTTTAGTGGGTGGTAATTTTGGCTCAATACAAACAGAGTAAAAAAAAAGTCGCCTGTCAGTATTTTGCACGACAACATCGAAGATACTTGGTGCGTTCCTGCCAAGACAGAATAAGTCAAATGGGTAAATAAAATGTGAAGTATAAAAAGTTACCTACCAATTATAAATGCTAACTGATTAGGATAATTTGGAACTGTTTTCTTGTTATGCGAGTTGCTGAAATCATAGTTTAGCAAGGAATAAATTATTATTTACTCATCTGAGGTTTCTTATTTGTTTCATGATATCACATAAGTGCATATTTATCATCATAAATGTTGTCTCATACTATAAATTTCAGTTCATTAAAAGCACAAATGATTTTAACAGTTAAAGAAATACATAACTGTAACACAGAAACACTACAAATAAGCATTCACTATTTATAGACTAATGATTCATTGCTTAAAAAATGCTGGAATTAAGGTAATAAGCAGATATTTCTACAACACATGTAAACAGTCAGTTTCACTTAATTAAGATAAATTCATTTTGGCCCAATTAAATGAATTAATAAAAGATAAATGAATTAGTAAGTAAAAAACAGGTACTTACATATTATCACATCGACCAGCCAAGTAGCAAGATTTAGTGCCAATAACCATGGGTGTCAGAATTTCACATTGATTGGTGGCCACTACTGAAATTTCCACCAACAATCAACACATAGTACTGAAAAATAATAATTTAGATACCTATTTTAATGCTTTAGTAAACTGTCATCTTTTATCAATATTTCTTCAGTCATTCTTGATAGAAACTTGGAGTATTTCTCTATTTTCCTTACTGCTCAAAATTTTACGAATCTTCAAAGGTTTTAATCCACAAACAGATAAATGGCATTGCTTTTCATAGCTCGACAACTGTCAGTTTGTTGCTGATGAACTTGCTAATACGTTTCCATCAATAGATTTGTATATTTAATTAATCAGTTTTTCTCGACATACAACTAGAGTACATCATATTGACATATTTTTGAAAACTGCTAAATTCTGTGCCACTGTCAAAATTAAATGTTTAAATTATGTATTAGTTTGGTTTCCATTTTTTGAGCTTTGACCCAAAATTTGATCCAGATATTTAATTTTGAAATCTGGAAATTGGCCATCTTTCTGGCTTTCCTTATGAGGTTGATTAAAATATAAATTATTATAAATCAAAGTTGATGATATTCTTTAGTGATTCTCCAATGCGTAATATTCTTAAATTCATAATTTTGTTACATCTCGTATGGCAAAAAGTTTCATGCAAGTAGTTTATAAAGTAGTTATACCTCTACCAAAAAGTCATGAATTCATTGACGACTTCGGAGAATATTCGCAAACACGGGGACTAATTTTGTGCCAAAAAAATGGGCGAAAGGCAACAATTCTTCTCAAAATGAAAACATGCTAAGAATTCTATACAAGAGCAATCAATCAATCAATAAAATTAAAGAAGCAAGAAAATTCAGTTCATTTTTTTAGGTGAAAACAAAGTGATCCTCAAACACTGGAATTTAGTGCCAGTGATAGATAAGCATGACATCACTATATAGTCTTAAGATCTTCATGCATGAGTTTATTTTCTTGATTAATTAATAAATTGGTTTAGTTTCTGTCAAGAAGAATATAAGCTAATTGCTATTTATCATTTTTTGCTTCATATTTTGAAAAAAAAAAAAAAAAGTTATTCAATTTTGGAACCTGCCTTCGATGGAGCATAATACAGCAATGAAGTATTACAAGATCCTAGCATCGAAAAAAGTGTGCATCAGACACAATATGCAACTTTATTTGAAAAGAGATAAATGACAGCAATGCACTATGAAAAATCATATCTAGTGATTTCAATTTGTTACATATTATATCAGCAAATTTTCTGTTTATTATCTAAATAAAAAATTATTGGGTCCTTCAAAATTCTGTGGAAATGATCACCACAGTTTGGTGAGACATCCATTAGCTTTCATGGTTGCTAACATTTCTTAATCCAAAAATATATTTTACTCTTACACGTTTAAGACCCCTAATGTTGCTTTGATGTCTCAATTTTTTTTTTCAATCTTACACAGGCTTTTAATATTTTAGCTATTAACAAATAAGATGATTGTTTTTATAATTTTAGACCAGAAAGTTCTTTTTTTAGTCATTTGGCTTTAAATGAAACAATGAATTTTTATACGTTCAACTACCTGGAATTTTCAAATATCTAACATTTTCTGAAATTTTACTGCATAATATTTCTCTCCTGTATACATATGTTAATGAATATGCAAACTATATTTGTTTGAATAATTACAATTATTATTTCATTAATAATTTTTTGCATATAATATAACCGTACATTTTTAATAAGAGTTTTCTCCTTACATGCATACATCAGATTTTTCTTTAAAGAATTATATCACATATGCAAAGCATCTCTCTGTATATGGTTATTTATATGCTCTAAAAAATCTTGCTTACGAGTACATGACATGCTACTACATGTATCACACATGTGAAGTTTCTCTTGCATGGATACGCATGTGTACTACTAAATGATGTTTCTGTCCAAAAGATTTGTTACATTTAATACATACATATGACTTCTCTCCCATATGAACATGCATATGCGACACTAAATTACTATTTTGTGCAAACGATTTGCTACATACATGGCACACATAAGGCTTCTCTCCTGTATGGATACGCATATGCGACGCTAAATTATTTTGTGCAAATGATTTGTTACATATATCACATACATGAGGCTTCTCTCCAGTATGCACACGCATATGATATAACAAATGATGATTATGTGCAAATGATTTATTGCATATATTGCATACATACGGCTTCTCTCCTGTATGGGTACGTATATGTTGAGATAAATGATGCTTTTGAGCAAATGATTTGTTACATTTATCACATATATAAGGTTTTTCCCCTGTATGTACACTCATATGCTTTAATAAAGCACGTTTTTGCGTAAAAGATTTATTACATATATCGCACACATATGACTTTTCTCCTGTATGGATACGCATGTGATCCACCAAATGATTCTTTAGTCTGAATGCCTTTTTGCATGTGTCACACACATGAAGTTTCTCTCTTGAGTGTATACGCATATGCATTGTTAAACTATGCTTTTGTGCGAATGATTTGTCACATTTATCGCATGCATGAGGTTTTTCCCCTGTGTGTGTATGCTTATGTTCCACTAAACGATGTTTCTGCGCGAAAGACATGTTACATTTATCACATTCATGAAGTTTTTTTGATATGTGGACACGCATATGTTGCATTAAATGATGCTTTTGAATGAATACTTTGTTACACATATCACATGCATGTGATTTTTCTTCTGAATGGATACACATACGTTCCACTAACAGACGTTCACGTATGAATGACATGTTACATAATATCATATTCTTCTGCATAAATACGTAGTAGTAAATCAGCTTTTTTTTTAATGATTTCTGGCATATATTGCAAATATTACATTTATCCAGCGTATGGCCAAACAAAACAATCCGTACTTCAAAAAGTATACGTTTGCGGAAAAAATAATTACTGTTGTAGAAAGAAATTCCAGATATAATTTACCACTTGGCAGAACACTTTAGCTTCGTTTTCTATAATGTATAGCCACTTCTGACAAACTCTTCGCAATTTTTATTGAGCCAATATTACAAACAAAATATATCACAACGTACATACCTTAACAACTTTTTGCTTCGAACAGCTCTATCTTTCTGCCCGTAGAATCAAGGAACTTTTGTAAACGCTTGGTTATAGCCATGAAATTTAGAATACATGGAGTAAGCATGACGTCACAAAGTTGAAGCCAAGTTAATAAGTCTTAAAATTAATAATAATAATAATAATCTTATAATGGGCGCCATACAGCCTACGGATAAGACTACGAAATATATTATTAAATAAAATTACACTGAATTTGAAAGTAAATATCTGTCCGTAATATGAGAATTTGAAAGCAATATAAATAAGTCCACAAGCTCAGAAAAGTGTTTTTAGGCATAATGTGCATAAAATACCATTCAAACTTCCAGCGATCTTCCAAGTTTTACCATGTATACATTGATAATATAGCTACAATTTTACACGTTTTCATGTACATAGACTTTAATAAATTTGAAAAAGTTATTTACATACCTCGTGATTTTCTATAGACTACACAGAAAATCTTTTATGTTAAGTATTAAAATTAGAAAGGTAGTCTAATGATGAATAGCTAACATGCAAAAAACTCGGATTAGAAGAGGAGCCGCGTGGGTATTAGGCGCCCTTGTTCAAATTGAAATTTGGCTCCCTTTTATGGGGTTTTGTTGCACTCCTATAAAGTGCTGCAAATTATATGTGAAATACTCTTTTATAATATTCAATACTTGACTTTCGAACTGAAAGGCTTTAAAATTATAACATTAAAACACGTGTTTGTCTTATTGTTTTTTATTATTTCATAAATTTTAAAAACAAAACAATGATAAAACATTTTTTAAGTAAAATATAAAAATTAGAAAATATATTCAAATACTGATTCTCCTAGCTTTATCAGCTACAAACGCGCGTATCAATATCAATTCCTTTCTATTTAATTTATTCAAAATTTCGCTCTCTATGGATATAATTGACAAGCCCGATAATCTCTCCTGCGCCATCGTAAATCGCATGTAGTTTTTTATAATTTTAAGTTTTGAAAAATTTCGTTTTCTCCAGTAGCCACCGAAACTGGCAGGTTAAAGAAATGTGTAAAGCTATTGCAATATTTGGAAATGTATCGGTAAGATTGTTTTCATAAACATGATTTAAAATATCAATAGATGACATATCCTCTTTGGTAAAACATCGCAAAGATTTTATTTCTTCGAACAAATTTAATCCATCGATATCCTTTCCATTAACATTTTTAGCATCCATTAATTTTTGTTCGAATTCTTTACAATGTTTTAAAATTTCATTGTCACTCCAGATTTTTAAATTAGGTATATAGTGTACTTGAAGTAAATGTAATGTTCTTAAATGTAATGAAATGAAATGTAATGAAGTAAATGTAATGTAGACTGAATATTTCAGTAATTGAAGAAATAGTAGTGTCTAATCTTATATTGTAAAATGTAACCTTAAATTTTTTGTCTCGGATTGTTGATTGGTTTGTTTGATCTTGAAATAGTTTCTTTTTAAACCTGTTTCGCCTTTGTGCAAATTCCGTATCCACCCCCAAATCATCAGCAACGATACTTGCATTGGCAATTGCATATCCATACGCTTCATCTGATGTACGATTATTGAGTTCTGATATAAGATTTTGTAAATTGTCAGTCACGATTTGTAAATCACATGCATGATTTCATTTGTTACATTTATTAAATTTAAAATATGGTGCCAGATGTTAATGGAACAAAGGAATTTAAACGACGAAACCATCTGAATCATTTTTTTTGCTTGAATTCTTGCTTCTATGTGTCTTGCTTGATCTTCTTAAATATTTATTAACGCTCTCAAATTTCTCTTCAAATCGTTTTCTTTGACCGTTGGGTCTTAAAGCCTGAATTCTACTCCCCCATCTGATGTTGGAGAGTGCTTTAAAGTAATATTTTCAACATACTGTTGCAAAATAGACCAACGTTTAACGGTTGAAGAAAAGTAGTTGTAAAGCTCCTGCACTACTCCGAAGAAATTAACTGTTTCGAAGGAAATTTTAGCTGCATCATTTACAACTAGATTTAGAAAATGGCAGAGCAGGGGATATAAAGTGCCCTCGAGTTATTTTCAATAATTTTTGTTGCAATCGTTTGTGCTTTCCTCTCATATTAGCAACATTATCATAAGATTGGTCTCGTAAATCTGATAAATTTAGTTCTAACAATTTTAAATGACCATTTTAAATGACCATTTATGTATTCAAACAGACCCTGTCCAATAGTGACGTCGACAGATTGAAATCCTAAAAAACGTTCTTCAATTTGGGCTTTATTGGTTTCCTCGTTCTTATAAACAAATCGAATTACAAAAGTCAACTGTTCGGTATGACTGACATCAGGTGTAGTATCCAGAATTAGTAAGTAATATTTTGACAATTTAATCATATGTAATAAAGCATTTTAATTCCTTCTAAAATAATGCTTATAATTTTATTCTGAATTTGATCCCGTAAGTAATGAGCAATGTTCTTCTTTTGAGATCTTTGAATTTTGTGGAGATGTTCAGCGATTATTGGATCAAATTTTGCTATGCTTTCAACCAACTTAAAAAACTTTCCATTATCACTATGATACAACTCTTTCGAAGAACCTCTAAATGCAAGGCATTACCGGACTAAATACTGAATTAAATAAATAAGCCGTGCAATAACCTATTGCCAGTAAGCCTTTTCTGCATCATAAAGTATTTGTTGAGCTGCATCAATAGTACATAAATTATGCAAAGTCATTTTGAGTTCACTGCATTTTGAGCTATGTTTAAGGTGAGATGCACTGCTTTCATGTGTTTTCAAAATGTGTTGAATTTGCCCAATCATTACGTCCATTCTTAATAAGCTGCTAATCAATTTTGAAAATATAACGCTGATTTTTGTTGTTTGACTTCTGAATTAGTATTTAGTATGTTCTTCATTGAAATCATTTCATATTAGAAGCAAAGTATTAAGAAATAAACATATTCGAAATCTGCTGCAGAAAATACACTGCAAGAATTTTCCATGCTACTGTTCTATTTGCCATAGATCTCACACGTCTAAATTACAAAGCCAAGGAAAGATTAAACACAAGGCGCACACAAAGTTAAATACACAAAGTTAAAATACAAGGCGTAAATGCGTTTCTGTTTTGTCATGCACTTTAAATGCAGAAAATTTATTAGATTTACTACTAATTTTCATTGCTAAATAGAGCTGTTCTCTTGCATACACTACTACTAATCGTCTTTCTTAGACCTATATTTCAAACATCCACTAGCTTTAATACAGCCTTCAGAAGTAAGGAGAAAACTCTAAAAAATCGATGGCTTTGGATCCAGGTTCAGTACACATTCAAATGTAGAAAATATTTATATTTATCTTCAAGGTCAATTTCCTAATACTCATGAATTTTTCTAAGTAGTCCTTCAAAACTTAACCAGCCTTTTATCTTTTCATTAAAATTTCTTAATTATACTTTTCGAAATTAAAATTTTCTTTTAATAGCCAATTTTTATCAACCCCTTTTATCAGAGTTCTGTTTAAGTCTAGTTACGTTTAGAGAGAACAGAGCATTCAAAGCTATATTGTGATGCGAAACTGCACAAATTATATCTAAATTTTTTTCGTTCAACCGCAATTATTCTCCATTCAGGCAAACTGTAATCTGCCAAATGTATGGGCGAATGCTTCAGATAAAGGGGGAAAAGGGAAGAAACGATGGAAAGAAAGACATTGTTCATTATGATGTGAGTCAACATCGTTTGTCCAATCAGTTCCCGATTCTGTCAGGCTTCGCTCAGACGAGGGCTTTGTGGCTTATTGCGTAAAAGTCATTAAGTTCGTTTTAACACTTGTGTAATAGGATTTAAGCCGTAGAAAGTAAAGTTGAGCCGTTTATAGAAAGTAAAGTTGAGCATGCGTAATTAAGCAGCTGACTCAGCAACGACGCCGACAGACTGTCAGTTAATGTTTGCTTTGCTGTGAATGGTCGGTTCTTGTAACAAATTGGCATAAAATTGTAAAGTTAGAACATTCAGGGAAAATTCCTCAACCAGTTTTTGTGACGTAGTAAGGTCTAGAGTAATGAAGCTCGGCTATGCTTCTTACGACCACAGAGCTCTCGTTTGAATGAAGCCTGACACAATATTCTCCACGAACGTACGCACGTATGATGCGATAGTTAATGCAATTATTTTCTAATAATGTGGTAAATGTAAAAAATGATATTTAGAGTAAATTATAGACTATTTTCTTGTCAGCTGACCAGAAACCGATTATTAAGCTATTATTTATCTGTCTTCGCTTATGAGTTCTCCCAACTCCACATATTAACTGTTAGCAATGTAGAGTGTCTTGCGCTGCAAAGCCAGATAGTTTTAAGCATGCATTTTCATCACTCAGATCATCGATCAATGAATATTTCCTGATGTTTGATTCATTTCTTAATATATCTTTAACGTCTGTGATTAAGCTTACCAAGATTTCGCCTGTACAAATTTGTGCCACCTGATGTGTCCTAAATTCTACTACTATGTGTCCTCAACTCTACGGGTCCTAAATTCTGCTGCATTGTGCCTTGAATTATCTCATTATTGAAAATGATCGCCAAACTTAACCACCATTTGGCGACCATTTTCAAGAATGAGATATATATATAGCTGGTCCCTGTATAGCTAATTGATACTGTAATCGAATAATTGTAATTGATTCTTATTGTAACTGTAACTTCATCCGGCCCCTATATGTTACGCTAACCGTATGCGAATTCCAGTAATTTCGAGACACGAAAGATACTAGAGATTTCTCAGCGGCCGGAGCAAAACTATATAAGACCAGAGAGAGAGTATCAGCTCTCATCACCAATGGAAGTGAATTCCTAGCCCAAGCTTCGGATTGGCTCCCGTAACCACTTGGCTGCCCTGAAATTCAAGTACTCAGGATGAAGCTCCAGGAACCTGGCTCCTCATTATGCCTCACTGGATTGGACTCTAAAAATCATGTGACCCGTGCATTCTCTCGCCACTACGAACTTTCTGCTATTATTTGCC